GTAAAGCGTCATATATGTCCTATGGTAATAAATATAAGTGGAAGGGCGCCAAAATTTTTATGGTGCAAATAGTTGAAAACTATCATTGATTGTTACATCCGGGTAACAATTTCCCCTAATTTTACTTAATTATGTATATATTAATAGGATAGAGTGTGGAAACGAAATCGATCTCAAAAGTGATATAACATTAAATTAACACTTAGGATCAATAATTTAATAGAAATAACTGTCGAATTTATAACTATAAATACTAAAGAAATCGTGCATTATCTCTTTTCTAAATTTATCAATTTAGTACATGTTGCTTCTCTTACACCTGCAATAAAATTCATTCCTGTCAAAAGTGCGAGAGACGAGAAATAACTATAAAGAATATTGTAATTGGAGATCAACGCCGTCCGGCGAGGTTTTCATATCAATAAATTTTGATAATATCATTGTTTGGAATTTTGAGGTCTTAGCAGGGTCAATTTTACGCCGTCCGGCGAATTTTGACTTTGTACTCGACGTTTTACGCCGTTCGGCGAATTCTGTCTAAGTCCTTGATTTACACAAACAATTGAAAAGGAATCTCAATCTTTGATTTATTTGTAATATCAATTTTCTAAAATAACAATGTTATTTTCAGTCAGATTAGATTATTCCAGATAAGCCAAAAATTGATAGAAAACCCAGAAATAGAGAAGGAACAAACGCAAAAAAGGCTATTTGATAAAACCGATAATCTGAACACAACAATTCTTCAAAATTAACAAGATTTTTCTACATTTTTCGATTTACTATTACATCAAACAGAACAGTTAATGTCCATAAACAATATTTAAAATAAAAGAGTTTATTATCAAAATCTTAATGTATTTCGTTTACTTTATTACATTAATTGTATATGTAATGTTTTTCGCCATAATTTGGTGGACAGTTTATCATTAAAAATTCGATTAGTAACCACAAATGAACAATTATTTTTCAATTCTTGAATATAATCAACATAATTATCGTTACGTTGAACTAATCTCAGGCTATTTCAAGTCACATAAAGGTAATTTTTTATTGATCACACATTAACAATAAATTTGGTAAAATAATCAGCAATATCATCGTTTATATCTATCGATAAAAACGTCATAATAACAGCAAGACAAGGTGCAATTTGCACAAATGGTAGTGCATTAATAGAATTTAGCGATTTCTCTCTAAGATTTGAAGCTATCGATTATCAAAGTGAAACAGAGATTATTAGAATTCTTGGTGCGCCATTTCTCGATCAAATTTACGAAACAAATTACTTCAATAGAGTAGCAGTCTTTTATGAAAGAGCAATTTGGTTACGTGAAATCTCTATCCAACGCCGAATCAGACGCCGTATTATCACTTTTATCCGAAACTTCTCTTTACGAAGAATTCCAGTACTAAATATAATTCTTAATGAATTAGTACAATAACGAAATTTCATTTAATTTAGTTATTTACCCAAATTTCACACCTATATTAACAATCAACAACCCGAATTAACAGGTGTTCTTGGATTATCTTTTTTTAACACAGATCCTAGTGAATTTCGGTTATAACTTTACATAAAACTATACATAATATACAATATTAATCAATATAATTTTCGACATTGATCATAACAAAATTTAAATTTCATAGAATCATTCTTTTTAGTACAACTAATCGATAGGACAAAAACTAAAATTTTAGATTCCCAAAATTTAGGAGAAATTTAAGTTTAAATAAAGCCCCCTTGAGAAAAGATATTAGGCGAATATACTAGCATATAAGGGTTGCAGTTGCAAACAGGCGCGAAAGTTTGATTTTATACACTCGCACTACTGGCTGGCGCCAAGTGCGTTGATCCGTAAGTAGTACAAGACGAGCTGTGTCACACAGACAATAGTGCGATAACACTAAACTCCCATAAGGCTATACGGTTCCAAGCCGCCATTATCCGTATTGCCCTATGAACTCATACTTTCATTTTATTGAAAAATATAATCAATTATATCCAAAAATTCTTTTGGAATCACATTTCTTTAAGAATCACGAGTGTTTATTCATACTTGATCCATCTTTACCCATTAATTTAATTAAAGAAAGTGAATTAATTCCTTTTTAAGGAATAAACCGCATAATTAAATATTCCTTAAGAGATAGTACAGTCAACACTATCGGAGAAGCAAAAGTTTGCATCAATTATACAGTTTTAGAATTCCAAACTATTAATAGTGAGAGTAATTATAATATTGCTGGAATTTTAGGGTTACCATTTTCATTTGATATAATTAACAAAATATTTTAATCATTCCTTCCGTTTTCAGTAAACTTATAATCATGGCTACAGATACGCCACAAACAAGTAACTTATCCGGTAATATTGATAGGACTTTGAACGATGCCATGATTACATGAATGGCTGAGTGTTTTGTGTTGCAATAAGGCATAATGAATATTCCTTTCTATGATGGTAAAAACATTCCTGTAAGAGATTTTATAGAAGATATAATAAATAGTGAGTCTAATATTCCTATTAATTGTGAAAAACAATATTTAAATTCTTGCCAGATTAAAAGGTGTAGCTAGAGATATTATACAAGGTAGGAATTTTAATACCGTAGACAAATAAACCCACACAGCACAACATCTTACACCAGGCCTACAGCAGGCTTACATGTAAGGTTTGTAAGGTAACATCGTAAGCCCATAGTAGACTTACAGTAAACCTAAAATGTCCGCCTTACAGTAAGCTTACATGGTAGGGTCGAGGTAAGCTTACATGGTAGGGTCGAGGTAAGCTTACACGGTAAGGTCGAGGTAAGCTTACATGGTAGGGTCGAGGTAAGCTTACATGGTAGGGTCGAGGTAAGCTTACACGGTAAGGTCGAGGTAAGCTTATGAGTAAAGGCTGTGGTAAGGTTATTATTAAGTTGTAAGGTTGAGGTAAGGTTGTGGTAAGCTTACAAGGTAAGGCAAGTTATATTCAAATAATAATATTAATAATAAATAAATATTCAATAAAAAAATTTTTCTTTTGCCTTATTCTATTTTGGGAACCTATCATTTCGCAGAAAGTTTTGAAAACAAATTTGGGAGGAGTAGGATTCGAACCCAGGACCGAAGTATATACCTAACAACCTAACCAACTGAGCTAAACGGGGAACTGACAATGAGAAAAGTAATCTTACTTTTAAAGTGGAACCAAGAAGATAATCAACTCCTTAAAAGCAAGATTACTTTTCTCATTGTCAGTTCCCCGTTTAGCTCAGTTGGTTAGGTTGTTAGGTATATACTTCGGTCCCGGGTTCGAATCCTACTCCTCCTAAATTTGTTTTCAAAACTTTCTGCGAAATGATAGGTTCCCAAAATAGAATAAGGCAAAAGAAAATTTTTTTTATTGAATATTTATTTATTATTAATATTATTATTTGAATATAACTTGCCTTACCTTGTAAGCTTACCACAACCTTACCTCAACCTTACAACTTAATAATAACCTTACCACAGCCTTTACTCATAAGCTTACCTCGACCTTACCGTGTAAGCTTACCTCGACCCTACCATGTAAGCTTACCTCGACCCAACCATGTAAGCTTACCTCGACCTTACCGTGTAAGCTTACCTCGACCCTACCATGTAAGCTTACCTCGACCCTACCATGTAAGCTTACTGTAAGGCGGACATTTTAGGTTTACTGTAAGTCTACTATGGGCTTACGATGTTACCTTACAAACCTTACATGTAAGCCTGCTGTAGGCCTGGTGTAAGATGTTGTGCTGTGTGGGAATCCAACATTTAAAACAAAGATTTGCTCATCGTAAGGGCCGGTTTCACCAACTCTGATTAAGCATTTAATTCCCGATTAGTTTAATTTAATCAGACTTATGCGTCCCACCATCTTTTAATCGTGGTTAAAATGTCTTAACGGGTGATTAACTTAACCGCCCGATTTTGGCCGGTTACGCAGACTAATCGCCGATTACGGTGTCAACATAACCTATAGCAGATTATTTACACGTGACATGGAAGGCATGGAAGATCTATACGAAAATTTCTTATCGTCCTCTGATGATGAAGATTTATTACCAATTATAAATCGAAGGCCAAGGATTATTAAAGACAGAATAAATTATATGGAGACATTTGACGATGTGGATTTTGTTCGAAGATTTCGATTGTCAAAGAACACTGTAAACGAGTTGCTCATTGAAATACAAGACCAGTTGCAAAGTGCAACTCAAATGTATTTATGTAATTGATTATTTATTTAAATAATGTATTACATATCGTAAACAAAAGAAATATAAAATATAAGTTACAAACTTGATCATTCAGAAATCTTCAATTGAAATGACGTGAATTTCTATGTATATTATGTATTATGGTCAATGATCAACATTTTTTTTAATTTTGACAACATTTTTATATGTGTAAACTATTTGCATTGACTAATATTACTATATCTTGTCAAGATTATCTATTAATTTATTAATTTTTATAAAGTATTTAAACAATATTGAGAGAAAGTCAAATTGATGCAAATACCAAAATATGTGCGTTTTAAAAATATGCAACTAAAAATACATATATTATTATTATTATTTTGTATTATATTATTTATGAAACAGAATATTCATTTAAACGAATTTTTATTAGGTAGAATTTAAATACAAAGAATTTACTTTTAGTGGAAGTTTCATTTTCTACAATTATTAATTGACAGAAATTTAATTTAATCAATTTTTCATATTACAGAACTTACTTATTGTTAGCCGAAATTTTATTTAATAGAATGTCTATTTGATCGAATTTAAATTTGTAAAAATTTTCATCTTTTCGAATTTCCATTAAACAGAATATTTGATTAAAATTAATTGAAAATCAGGATATTTAAAATTAATAATCCTTTTTGAGTTATCATGTAAGAGGAATTGTAAAATTTATGAAGCTTTTGAAACTTTTTCTTCTTGCATAAAATATTTATTTTATGCCTTCTGTTTTAGGAATCATGCTATTTCGCCAATAATCCAAGTTCTGCTTACTTTACGGTATTATGCAACTGGTTCACATTTGATTGCTGCAGGAGACTTCTCGGGTGTCAGCAAATCTAGTGCCCATAGAATAGTTCATAGAGTCACAGCAGCTATTGCTAGATTAGCTCCAGATGTGATAAAACTTCCTGCTTCACCACAAGAAATATCAGCAACTCAAATAGATTTTTATGCTATAGCTCGATTTCCTAGAGTTATTGCAGCATTAGATTGTACACATATTAAAGTACAATCTTTTGGAGGTAATGAAGCAGAAATTTTCAGAAACAGAAAAGGTTATTTTTCCATAAATGTGCAAGCTACTTGTGACGCAAATTTAAAATTTTCAAATATTGTTGCTCGTTGGCCTGGAAGTGCTCATGATGCAACAATACTCAACAATTCAAGATTACGTGGCTGTGCAGAAGCTGGAGAGTTTGGTGATGGAATTATCTTGGCAGATGGTGGTTATAATATGAGATCATACCTCTTAACTCCACTTTCAAATCCTGCAACTCCAGCTCAAAATTTATACAATGAATCACAAATCAGAACAAGAAATACAATTGAGCGAGCATTTGGAGTATGGAAACGTAGATTTCCATGTTTAGCTATAGGCATGCGTTTCACAATAGATCATGTACTTCCAGTAATAGTAGCTACTGCAGTTTTGCATAATTTGGCACGAATAACTGGGGAAGAACAGCCCCCTGATGATCCGGATTTAAACATAAACTGGGATGAAATTTTAAATGCAGATCTTTACAATAGAGTAAACTTGGGAGCAGGCGAAGACCTCACGCTTCGACTTCTTTTACAGTATTTTGAAAGGTAAATTTCACTTTTATTTGTTCGCATTTTATGAATGTAATATAAAAATTAATCATTTTTTTTAGTCTTGTAGGTTGACAATAAATTGAGCGGAATACTACTGGCTGGAATGAAGATATTTTTTAATTAACTATTTAAAAGAAACATATATTCATGGATATTAAAAATTGTCAAATTTTTTTCTAGAATTTTTATTTCACAAAATTGTATTACATTCAATATAAATTTGAATAAAGTATGAAAAACGTTCATACAATAACAATAAACAAGTGTTTAAAGTTCTCTAGCGGTGCACTGCGTTAATCACAATGTCTTGTTTAAGCAACATACATTAATATCATTAATTTAACAATATTAAACTTTGATTTTATTGCTACTTCACATTAAACTACTAACTGTGAAGGTACATTTGACTTACAATACGTATACATAAAAATAAAACCAACAAACAATCAGTTATTCATACATAATAGGTTATTTAACCAAATGTTGAAAGTTCTCTAAAAAGTGCTTTGGTAATCTTCACGTTTCGCTTAACCAAAAAGACATATTATTAATTAAACAATATTTTACTTTGGCCTTACAATAAAATACTAGTTGTAGAGATATTTAAACGAATTCGTAATTCATTTAGGAATAACATTTTGGCACAAATTATAGTTTACAATTATTGCATCTCATCTAATGTCAGTCTTTAAGATTTTCGGAAAATATATGACTAATTTTCCATACGGCAAAAATTAATGACTTGCTTTAAACATACTAATGAAGAGTAAACTATGAAATAATTTTTTTCTTAAAAATAGATAACTGCTAAATATAAAATACTATTGAAAACCTGAAACGTAACAGTTAACATCATCTGTTTAAGGATATTCTTCCTGATCAGGCGATGCCAAATTTATTTTTTTGCGAAGGAGCTGTATTTCCAAATCTTTTTTAACTAACTTCTTCTTTAAAAGGTCTTGCTCCATTTCCATTTTTTTAACAGTCTGCTCTTTAACCATTATAATATAATTTAATTTGGCTTCCATTAAACTATCAAAATTTTTGGATCGTTCATGTATAGAACGCGTTTTGGCGTACGGCTTATTGGCAATACTTTCTTCCTGTAATATTTCAGGCAATATTCCCGGTTTTGGTATTGGCGATCCATTTATTTGCAACGCAGCAGCTTTCCTCGTTCTTAGCATAGTTGGAGACCATTGCGTCCAGTCATTGTTCTCATCCTTCTGCGATTCCGAGGACATTCTACGTTTTAGCATCGACAATCCGGGTTTCGCTTTCTGGAATCCAGTTTGTGGCGTTGACGTTGCATCTTTCGTTGTCAGCACATTTAGAGACCGTAGTGGCAAGTTAATAGTGTCATCGCTCATGATTATCTGAAATTAAGAAAAAAAAGATGAATTATATTTTGGATAAAAATTGCTACTGTTTTGTAAATTTTCAGAAAAAGCACAAAATAATCTGTACCTCACATGTTTCCATATTAACATTAATTGCACTGACATCAAGCGTATCTTCAAATGCGGGTAATTCATCGTTTTCGTGAAATTCCACAGTTTCAAATTCTTGAGAGTTGTTAATACCGTCACTATAAATTCCACTTCTTTCACCAGGAGAAGCATCGCTATCAAACGCGTTATCCATTGGTTTCCCTGTTTTGCCAATAATTCCCTGTATTTGTATACACAGCTGATCTTCTTTAATTTCATTTCGACCTCCACCAGTCTTAAAAGTTTCTTGCCGTAGATTACTTAAGTGCTTCCTTGTCGAACGTTTGAGATTCTCCCACAATACTTTTAAGTGATTTGCAGTACGATGACTTGGTGATTTTCCCATAGAATTAAATTCCTTGCAAATTACCTCCCACATTTTATTCTTTTCCTTTTGCATAACTGCATCCGTTTTCTTATTTTCGATGATATGCCTGTATTTATTAACTACATTAGTGAGGGTAATTTTTTCCTCACTTGTGTAATTCGGACCTCTTTTTCTTCTTTGTTTTACCTAAAAATGAATATTTATTAATATATTTCTTAAAGAGATGCAAGTTATTTTTAAAATTAAACAGACGGAATTTTGGCTTTTTCCCTGACCTCCATTAAACATCTTGAAGGGATGTTCAGTTGTAAAAAAAAGATAATTTTTATGTAAAAAGTAGAATTACATTTTTACAGTGCTCAGCTGATTTAAAAAAAATGTATGGCTTTTTCTACGATTTTTAATTATGTTATATTTGTAAATTCAAAAAAGAAATTTCTGTTAATTTTACTTAAAAAAAAATATTAATATTTTCATTAAAATAATATTATTGATTAAATTTTATGTAGGAAATAAATAAAATACACTAATAATTATATGAAATTTCTCAAATTCAAAAACAAAACAATTCCAAGGGCACAGTGAGTCAGACATAAATAATCAAAGAGCTTCTGTGCTTGTAAATCTTAAAATACATCAACATTTTTAATATTTATATTTAATACTCTTTAATATTTTTTAAAAATTTATTCAAAATCTTTTGAAACATTATTGAAATTTGTTTCTTGCATTGCATCCCTTTGTTTACCTTTTTTGAGGTTAAGTTTTATGTTATTTTACATATTTTACTTAGCTTTTAATAACTTCATTATTTATCTAATATTATAAAATAAAATATTTTAATTTAGATACTATACTTACACTTTCAAATTGCTCTTCCATTTTTTATAACAAATCCACAACTTTTTGATTATTGTTTCTGCCTCAAATGTAGATATTGTTACCATAGACGATAGCACGCATAAATACCGGCGCACGCAGCTTATTCGAAACAACCAATCAGAAAGTGCGGTTAAAGAGAAAACAGAAACAGTTTACGATTAACTAATCACACGTTAAAATCTATGGTGGGACGCTTTGAAACTTAATCATGATTAAAACCTTGATTAAAAAATAATCATGATTACTTAACCAGCATTTTATGTCGAGTTGGTGAAACCGGCCCTAAGTCATATACATGGTATCTACAGGAAATATCCATAATTCGTATGGGCCGAAATGATAGTGTTAGTGAATTTTAAGACAAAATATTACTCTTGATGGCAGGAGCTAAGGCTGCTCTTCAAGATAAATATGGAGTCGAAAGATCAAATACTATGATAGAACCCTTAGTTGACTGTGCATTAGAAGCAATCACCCGAGGTTTACCAGATGGTATGTCTAGTATTTTAGAAGCTAGAAATCCTACAACCATTGAAGAAGCATTAAAATTTGCTTTGGAATTTGAAGCCCGACATCAGTATCATAACTGATACCTGTTAAGGTTCTAAATACTAATTTAAAACAAGGCTATTTGCCATTAGTAAAAACTACAGATGGATTATTAATAGGCGATACAATAGTAACAAATAACGATGGAACATGCTTTTTTTTGCAATTAACACCACATCGGAAGATATCGAAGTTGAAATACCTCCACAAGGAATAAATATCCTTTGAATTCTACAAACTACCGGGCGAAGATTCAGATGAATATGAAACAGATGACGAGTTTATACCTCCTGAGGATAGAGCTTCAGCTGTAATTGAAAATTTAAGGCTAGAACACCTAAATGACGAAGAAAAACAACATGTAATAGAAAGCATAAATGAGTTTCCAGAAAGTTTTCATCTACCTGGTGAACAATTATCACCTACACACGTAGTACAACACAAAATACACACTATTGATGAAATACCAATACACATTAAACAATATAGTTTTTTACCATCGCAGAAAAAAAATTGATAAAGTAATCGATAGAATGATAACAGAAGGTGCTATAGGACCTTCGAACTCTCCATATAACTCACCATTGCTAATAATACCGAAGAAAATAAATGTAACTGGAAAAAAAATGGCGGATAGTAATAGACTTTAGAGCTTTTAATGAGAAGACTGTCTGCGACTTTTATCCCCTACCCAGCATTATTTCAATAGTTGAAAATGGCATTTTTCACAACGCATGGATATTATGAATATATCAGAATGCCCATGGGACTAAAGAACTCACCAGCAACATTCCAGTGATTAATGGACCAAGTATTACTAGGTTTACAAGGTGTAGAACTATTTGTTTACTTAGATGATATTGTGATTTTTGCTAAAAACTTGGAAGAACATGGTAAAAAGATTCGAAGATTATTACAAAGATTAAAGGATGCAAATTTATCTTTATAACCGGAAAAATGTGAATTTTTATTCAAAGAAGTTGCTTATTTAGGACACATAACACAGGCCAACAAAATTAGCAAACTTTTTTGGTGCGGCAAATGTCAGACCTGTTTTTGATATGTTTTTCATGCTGAACACAAATCCGTAAACGAAATGTTCCTATCAGCTCTAGTTTTTGAGAAAAACGGGTTTAAAATGTTCAAAAATCGCGTTTACGGCTAACTTTGAGTACCTCTAACACTGAAACAAAAGGTAGAACCTTCCACTTGGGCTTAATTTGAAGCTTAATGTTTTTAACTATCATTCCCAAAAATGACCTATCTTGCACCATAACCTCAAAGTCATTTGTTATCCATTTTTGATTCGAAAATATTAATTTTGTAAAAGTTTGAGCGCGTACATCTATTCCTTGAGGTTAAGGTGCAGAAATGTAATTTTTATGAACTACAGTCAAGTGTCAAGTCAATTCAATTTATGAATTGAAGATGAACAAGAAGGTTCACTCACCTTCGGTTTTATTGACTAGAGTCATTCAAATATTACCAAATAAGTTCTGCAGTTAATTATTGGTTACCAACAAGTTTGAGGTTATTAGTGAATAATATAATTTTTAGGGCTTGTAGTCTAAAGTTCAAACCTTATTTTAAGTTCAAATAAAAGGTTCTATGATCCTTTTTTCTTTGCTAGAGGTACGCGCTCAAACTTTTACAAAATTAATATTTGCGAATCAAAAATGATAAAACCCGATTTTCTCAAAAACTAGAGCTGATAGGAACATTTCGTTTACGGATTTGTGTTCAGCATGAAAAAACATATTAAAAACAGGTCTGACATTTGCCGCACCAAAATCAGTGTTGGCCTGTGTAATTAATAATGAAGG